TTCTGGCAAAAAAACCAAAACTTTACAAGATTATAATTAACATCAAAAGGCTGGTCTCGAATGCGTGTGCTAATTCAGCAGAAATTTGAAGTCTAAAGATGCTGAAACCAGATATAAGGTAACATTATTCCGCTGGTTTTGGATTTTTATCCTATTATATTTCGCCAGCGCACAAAGAAGCGATGTTTCGGGTTTGGTCTATATTTTATTAATATCGTAAAAATTATAACAAGTTACCATTATCCTTTTTAAGTGATGTTTCTACTGGGCTAGCGCTAATAATCCATTTTGCAAGTTCTTACAGATTTTCTCCATTTATTTAATGACTAATATGTGGAAAATTTTCACAGCTCACTACGTTTGACGGATACAGAAATCGCGGGCGGGCACAAATAATTGATCGCATGCGTGGTAATAATTCGTTTGCAAATGTATTTTTTGAGAACCATAACATCCGATATTCAGCCAAACAGCTTGAATGCCTTGAAAAGCGTACTGTACTCTTTCTATTAAATCTCTTTACAGACGTTTACAAGAATTTTAACAGACCCGAAAATAATTTTATCAAAATGTACGTTCAAAATTCAAGGCTTGTGAACTTCCAACACTTGGAATTCAAGTTGATGTTAAAATACTGCCAATGGCCTGGAACACAACACATCCTCCTCAAATGAACATACAGTCGACACTCCCTAAATGCACACTTCGGGACTGAGAGTTTGGAACCGTGCATTTAGAGAACAATGCAAAATTGTGCACTTACAGAGTAGTAACACACATTCACGTGATACGATTATGTAATTTCGCCATATACTTATCCGATACTAATACATTCTTGCTTCCGGACGTTATAATTTATTTAAGTATTGATCAATACTTGACTGTCGCATTGCATAGCCTTCTTTTTTTCAATATACTTCTCTAAAATATTTGCATATCTCAAATACTGATTAAATGGCGGCCTGACATCCAAGTCGTCCTGCAAACATACTGTAGCAGCTAATTATAACATTAAGTTTAATGTTTGGTAATACTAATACCAATTATAGTTCTACCTGATGTATGACAGTAACAATTTTTGTTTACCAAATTTTACCATCAGATCACGTGTGTGTGTGCATTTAGGAAATTATTCCATATAACTGGGATTTCCAAAATCCATTGCACGTGCAGAATAAAGAATGTACTAAGTCCCGAGGTTGGGACCACAGCATCATGTGCATTTATTTAGGGAGTGCGTGCATTTAGGGAGTGTGCATTTAGGGAGTGTCGACTGTACTCTGTGATTTGGAGGAATGTAGCAACTCTTGTGAGGTAGGCTGTATTTTGGTATGCTTATCACTAACGAGTGCTTTTTTTTACAGTATGCCAGTACTGTATGGCATATATGTTGAGTACAACTGTAAGTGTTAGTTCATTCAATGAGGTGTCTACAGATGAGCATACTAATACAGATGAGAAGACTTTTCATTAAGTGATGACAATATAGACCTACTTTTTGCAAGAGCTCTAACAAGCACCTAAGTTTTCATTTTATTTGTATTGTTATTTTTTTAATAAAATCCAACCAATAGTATTGCAGAATTTTCTGTCCAATCATAAAAAAAACCCGCTATGCTTATTATATGCTTTTAGAATAAGAAGTCATATTTTGAAAAAACGCAGAATATCGTTCATTGCTTCTGGAAACAAACATTATAGTCAAGAAATCCAACACACTTTTCCAACACTTTTAACGTCGCACAGTATATTCCTATATATAGGGTGATCATCATGATTATGACCAGCGAAAATTCCGGAAGTCACATTATTGTTATAGTGACTTGTACTAGACGTCAAGAAAAACTCAGCGAACATACAAGATATTTATTAAACGCATTGATCGTAAGAATCTTCATTACTCATGTATAGCTAGTCGTTTTTTATGAATGTTTATTTCATATTAGAATCAAACATCAACGTCGCAAGATTGTTGATAATTAAAGCTGAAATAGACGTATAGTTCTAACATAAATATGTATTGTTCCGACTTTATATTCTATGTATAACTGATCAAGTCAGTGACATATAACTTTATTAAAATAACAATATAATTGATTAATAATATTATTGTGTAAGCACGTCCTCCGATGAACATCTGGTTCGGGTTAAGAGGGGCTCCCATATTTAGATCGATTTGATTGATTGTTAGGTCAAGCTGTTCAGTCCCCAACGGCCAATCCCACAATTTAGCTTCTCGTTCAGCTTCGGTGCATACTTTCAGGACAATGCTAATATTAGATGGATCCTTTACAGGACGTCCATGTCTAATATCCTTGTTAGATTAAACTTTCGATTGGCAAATGCAATAAACGTAATTATTCTAACGAATAATCTAATAAATAGCACGACAGACAAATAGTACAACATTTTACGTTCACAAAATAAAATCATATGTTTGTTTTAACGGCAGAAGTACAATGCTGATATTTGTTCGATTGGCAAATATACATGTATGTCTAACTGTCGATGACTGATTAAATAAAAAGAAAAGCCGTATACATTTCGCCCTAACTGAAATAATATCACCGCCGTTATGGCCTTTTTATTGCATTGTTCGAGTTAGAAAAAAGCTTGTTTCTCTCCTTCTTACCAAGCGATCATTATACTATGCGAACGACCGGAATTTTCGCTGGTCATAATCATGATGATCACCCTATATATGGGAATATACTGTGCGACGTTAAAGTGTTGGAAAAGTGTGTTGGATTTCTTGACTATAATGAAACAAACCAGCTAATATTACTGTCGGACTTTTTGCCACCTAATTCAGAGAATAATGTGGGCAGGCGATATAACCAGACAAAATTGCCGGCATTATTTCTGTTATCCGTGACTTCATCGTTGACGAAAGCACAACACATACTCCCACAAATATACACAAATGTCTTTTGATATAAAAATGCAAGCGAGAGAGCGGAAGAAGATGCGGATACTGATTCAGAATTTAATAAATCAACTAGATTTGTCAAACTCTTTGTCTGCTGACGGTAAATGGTGAATATTTGATTTGGTTATCGTTACTATATTAGTATCTAATGCAATCTCAAATTATTGAATTTGCAACATAGAAAATCCAATCGGACTTTAAATGACGACGACTTAATTCAGGAAGCTTTGTAACGACAAACTTATAAAGAACAATTCCAACGCAGAGAAAGACATTGAGTCAGTAAGAATCTCACTGAGGATGCATTGATAAAGTCGTTATTATTTCTTGAGCAACAACATGATGATGGTATTACCATTCGGGTGGATGATTTGTCAGTTATTTATCGGCTTATTAGTCAAGTTGCATAGCATCGTAGGTCACAATATAAAAACTTTGATTAAATTTTTTTTTAGTAAATTACTGTGAGAATTGAGATTTACATTTATGCATCAAGCGGTACGTGATATTGTATACTACATCTCGAATATTTGAGTTAATATTCCAATTATCCAAATATCGGGGGTTATACCTCGGGTATTCCCGAGTTAGCTATTTAAGTAAACAATACAATTATTACAAGAGTCGATGCATACTTAATATTAATATTGTTTGCATGCAAAATAATTTACCTGATGAAAATCAAGCGCCTGAGTATTATCTATCTGCTTGAATATCACTTTTCATTATTGGATCTAACCAATTCGCTATATGCGTGCAGTTATGCGTAAAGATGTCATCTGTTTGTCAGTTTCCTGATACAGTAATATTAAATGGGCCCCAAACGTTTATCGATATGAAAGCCTCCAAATGCAATATATTTATGCTACATCAAATTATATGTAGTTGGTCGGTTACTCCGCCCACTCCTCCGCCGCTTTTTTACCAATGAACTTATTTAGTAGTTATTAGCATGAAAAACAAACTAAACAATTTCGTATAGCTAAATTCGCATCGCCACCATCCATATGTTGCCTATGGTGCAATAAAATCTTGAAATAATTGAACCCGGTATATTTATTATATAGAGCTGGGCGACATACCTAATAGAAATGTAAAGCTGCTTCAGCTCAAAGCTTAGTCAATTTAACCAAGATTATATGACTAGTTGCTCAACAGCCAGCTCGATGCGCTTGTCGCAAAGCCCATCATTTGTAACTTAAACTGCCACCCTAATGATCGACAGTGCAGTATGTTCAGTAAAAACATTAAACTTAGTTAATACATTGTTACGTGAAATATTATTGTAAGATTCAAGTATTTATAAACAATATGAGATAAAGGCATTATACGTGAAATATCATTGTAAGATTCAAGCATTTATAAACAATATGAGATGAAGGCATTATACAAGTAGTAATACCACAAGTTCTTGCCATTCCGTATATAGATTATTATTTATTCTTTACAAATATTAGATAACATATATTTTTATAACAAATGCAGTATGTTATATGCAGTAGGATAGATGTTATAATGTCAAATAAATACTCTTATAATGCTGTTACCGGATTGTCTTTACTATTCTAATCTGACATATGTGTCAGTTCAGAACGAACATAAATTTCCATCTGACATACAACACTACCGTCATAAAAAATACGATAATATCTTCCAGTCGTGTCCTTGGCATATTTTGATAAGATGGTGACAGCGATGAGGCTGGCCAAGTGCAGGGCGGAACTTGTTCTTTGAATTTTGATCATTAATAGGGAACTCGATAAGTCCATCCAAAGGTATTCGTATGGTAAACGAGATATCCTTTCCATTTGAGACGGAGGAGCATAGGTGTTATCTTTGTCCTGGTAGTGTTTTTCATACGTCTCCTTAACCCTTGTTCTATCATATCCAACACTATGTCCAACTATTATTCTCTGTAGATTGCTTTATCAAGCGGAATTAAATGCTCGATAAGAGAGGGTGAGCAGCCACGCGATGATATAGTTATTTATTCGAAGTTTTATATTCCAAGTATTATATAAGCCGAGGTGAGACCCATAAATACCATGCAGTTGAAATGCAGCGCATGCGATCACAGGAAAATTACTGTCTCTAACCATTGTTTCGACGTCAAAACATAGACTCTCTTCATCTGGATATTCAACTGATTGTTTTTATCGTTATAGTATTTTGTACAACCTGCTCTAAATTGCCATTGGCCGCGATTTGGTGCTTCAGGTATGCTAGACTTGGAAAATTCTCGAGCAAGCTGGCTAATCGGTTTTGCTTGTTGATTTGTTATGTTGTAAAAGTGGTGGGCAATTGATGCACCAACAATTTTGGGCAGCATGAATTGAGGGATTGGAGTAGGCGTATTGTCATTCTTGATCGATATATTGTTCTTCGAGAGATAATCAGATACTATTCAAGACAATTTTGAGATGGGGATGTTGTATGTCCGTTTGGAATTTATGTCCATTCCGAATGGACATATGTCAGATGGGAATTTATGTCCATTCCAAAT